AAGGGATAAACCTCCTTGGTTGAAGATGAAATTTCTCAATTACACATCAAAATTTACATATTCCTAAATAATACTCGGATGGTTTTATGGCTATATGTCTAGTCAACTTCCAGGTATACAAGGTGTGAGACCAATATATTTTCTGCCACATAACTTTTCTGTTGTCTCATGTACAAGCCTATGTATACATACATAAACTTTAATATAAATATATGCTATTTTTTCAGCACAAAAGAAAAATAACATTAAATACTTTCCATATATTTCCTAATCATCGTCATTATATTATATCATAAGCTCGGGGAACTGTTAATGTCTAGGTCTGATGTATTCATTTCCCACTACTCGGGTGATTCTCATCCTGATTACAAGATTTACTTTGTGATTTTGGTTTCTAAAGTTTGATTGCAATATTCATTATCGTTATGCATCACAATGTTGGACAAACAACACAGGATTTATCTTCCTGTTACACTTGTATCCGTAAGTATCATCAAACCAACTGCATGAGTTATCTCAACTCGTTAACAGTAAAAGCTTAAGTAGTAGTTTTTGAAGATCGTGTGAACCGATCTGGTTTTCACAAGCTAATGGAGATATGACCATAATACCAGCCCACCTTTTGCCGGATATCAACCAAACACTGACTCTTACAGGTGATGATTCGGAGCTGAGACTCTACGATAATCAGTTGTCTAAGAATTGAATGGCTGCCTAAACGTAATGACATATTGAGAGGGAAATGAGGGAGCTTCAAGACGAAGTTGGATAGGCACATGGAAGTGCTGGGATGGGTGTGAAAGGGATCTGTTCTTATGAGTATACCCTACGAGTCATCTGGTTACTGTGTGAGTCAATCATCTCGTCCGTGTCGTGACAGAGTGGTCATTGTGTTTGATGGGAAGGAATTATGCCTCGCAGTTTTTCTATACTTGGTGTGTTAACTCGGCAGTAGAGCTCTAGTTACACAGACTCGTTAAGTATCGTAAACCATCAACGTGGTAACAGTTAGTCTAGCCTAAAGTATAGAAGAACCAACCCAGGACGTCATTCACGAGGGCCTGTCGTCATGTATGGCAGACAGTCAACCCTCCACGCCAGTCAAGTGAAAGATAAGTCTTAAAGAGAAGAGGAAGAGATCCAGAAGAAATGAGGTTTCTATTTATTATATTGTATATATAAATAAATGACAACTAAAAAGAAAAATATTAATCAAACTTTTAACCTCATATATACCGTATATGTCAATATACGCTTTCGTCACTGTGATATCCTTAAAATATATCATTATGAAACTGAATATTATTAAATGATAAAAAAGTCAGTGTTTGTCACAATACACCAACCCTAATGGCGGAGCCTCATCACAGTGAACTTAAACGTTACCAGGCTGCCAGACGATATGGAGAGGCAACCCTAAAAAGAATGTCATAAATTTTCCCGGGAGGGTGAGGCGAATACTTGCGAACATTTATTTATATAATTTGCTGTAAATTCAACGTTACTGGCATACGGAACATGTTGATTAGTTTTACAAAATGGAAAAATGGAAACCAGTACGAGATTTTACACAGGTAAGAAGCATTAGGCGAAAGGTTTGCACAGGCAGCAAGTCAGACCAGTGTACCCGTATATCAAGAATAATTCAACCGTGGGTTTACTGTGAAGGTGAGGGAGTGAATGTAACAATTATTTCACACAAGGTAAGAGGTGTTATAAAGCTTAAGTAAAATGCTTGGCAATGCTAACATGAGACTAATCTTGGCGTCCCACAATGCGAATATGGAGTACCTAACCTGTTTTACCGATTTGAATCAAGTTTATCTGTGCCTTTTTGGAGGGCTTTAAAGAAAATATATGATTTTTTTTTAATAATTTTCAATTGTCGTAGGATTACCGTTGTGTTATTGATACCATTTACATACTTCCATACCTAATATCCGTAACGGCTATCATGATCATACCTGGAGGTGACCTTGGAAGGGGAAGGAGCCTGGAGTAATGATTGTACGTGTAGGATCCCAGTCATTCTGAAATATATTGTCCAGGCAGATTTTAAGGCTTAGTACTAATCTCGTTTCCACTACAGCAGTTGGCAGACTGTTCCATATGTTGAACCATATAGCTTAAAGCCTATCTATCTCCATAAACCCTTTTGGGTGCAGCTGCGCACTTCCGTATTTCATTCTGGCTAATGCCAGACGATTTTATTCAGCTGAGAGAAACCCCTTGTCATGGGTTGCATTAGGCTTACCCACGCAACCAACTCCAAAGTTTGTTTTACTTGAGATAAGGCGCCCAGCGAGCCATGACTGTGAAATATATTTTCCATTAGTGGTAGGTTAGCCAGCCTATAGGGGGAGGCCAGTGAGAGAGTGTTGTACTGTTCATCACCACCACGCCCCAAAACCACATTTTAGGTAGTATCCCCTAGGCCATGGGTTAGTTAAAACGTCGGCCCCATCCTCTCCCTCCTGAAGGGTACGGGATACCACACAGAGTCCTCCACAGCCATCCCGTCCTGTGGACCGTCGTCGACACGAGATTATGTGTGTTAACCTAGGTTCGTTATCCCCGTGGAAATATCACCTGTGGATGCTTGGTTGCAACAAGAGTAATCCAGGCTGGCCTATCAAACCTACAGTAAATGGTTAATCAATTCATGCTTACAGAGTTCTCCTGCACGACACCCGTCTACAGTGACCGTGATCGACACGAGACTAAGTGTGTTAACCTAGGTTTGTTATCCCCGTTAAAATATCACGTGTGGAAGCCTGGTTGCGACAAAAGCAATCCAGGCTGGTCTATTGCACCTATGTGGTTAAACAAGTCACGCTTACCAGTTTTCCTTGCTGCAACAACCATCTATAGTGACTGTCAGTGATGCGAGACTATGTGTGGTAACCAAAAGAGCCAAATCGATTTCACTGTGTCTCCAGTCATGGAAGGAAACAAGGCAGAGGAGACAAGCCTAGCCATCGTAGAAGACCTGGTAATCGGGGGTTTATCAGCAGACGCTCACCCAATTGACGGCAATGATGCAGAATATGAAAAATCATATGGAGCAACTTCAGACTTTAGGCGATACAGAGGACTTTGGTGAGATGCTGTCATTACCAGGGGGAAAGCCCTTTCTGGAAACGAGTGAAGGGATGACAGCCACAACGAGGTATGCACGAGACACACATTGTCAACCGCCGGAATCAGGAGTGTCTAGCTGCTACACCTCGACACCCACCCAAGGAGGGTTCCCAACACTCAGCGCTTCAGGGTCGGGAACAGAGTTAGTAGCAATCTCAAAGACCCAAACAAACCACGCACCACCTTCTCCGGGTCATCACACGATACCCATCACCCAGATAGTTTAGGAAGTATCCTCCCCAGCAAGTGCGGACCCCAGTTCGGGGGCGCGCCACTCCGAATCTGACCACGTCCAAGAGTGGGGGTTGGTGGTAAGCATTCACTGATCGGGGATCCGCTTACACTTGCATATCTGCAGTATCCTTTCATACCTGCAGGTACGATAACCTCCATCCCCAATCCCAAATCCGGCCTGGCTGCTCCAAGAGCTCCACCCGGAGCCACCAAACGGGCCTCCTGCAGGAAAAGGCTCGTGTCGGACTACAGTCCGACAATCTCAACAACAACAGAGGACCACGGAAAGGTGTTGTCACTACCAGAGACGTCGTTCCTGAAACCGAAACTGACAAAGAAACGCTATATACTCCAAGATGACTCCCGATGCTCACCTTAACCGCGGAGCCGGGAACATTTCACCAGGGGGAGCGCGGAAGTACTTCCGACCATCAAAAGTACTTCCGAGTATCAAACTCGCTCACCGAAACCACTAACGTTGATAAAGGACCATAAGTGACGACTATGTGAATAACGTGCATAAATACAAAAGAAAGCAAGGGAAGCCTCCTGGGATCGAGTGGATATTGGAATGCACCGTGGATATGGTCGACAAGGCGGAGGAGGCCCCAAGGGACAAGGACCGGAGGAACCAAGCTGTATATATGCAGACTCATCCTCATGCCAATCCTCGTCGAGGAAGAAACTTGTGGGTCTGGTGACAGCAAGAATGAAGACAACCAGAGAAATGGACAATGAACGCTGCTCGTTATGCCACGGAGATCACCTTCAGATGTGTCGGACATTCCTCAGCATGTTCACAGGGAAGCGAACTTCCCTCGTAAGGGAAGAATGTCGCTGCTTCGCCAGCCTGGGTCGTAATCACCGGATAACGGAGTGCAGCCAGATGATGGTATGTGGTAGAGATGGCTGCTCTGGAGTATACTCGAGGCTTCTACACTTCACGGGAGCTTCTGACGAGCAGTACCAAGCAGAGGAAGTGCCAGTTTTTCCCTCTCCATTGGCACAATCATTAAAGAAAAAGTAGTGTAAACGCCGAAGGGATCAGTGTAAAAGTGGTTAGCGTAGGAGAAAGAAAGAGCCGATCCATCACTATCCCCAAGGTCATTGTTGTTTCACCAGGAAGAACTGGAACTCTCAGACAATAAGAAGCTTGCCGAACAGTGATTGGCGGGTCTGAGAAATGCCATCTAAAGAACCCTAGGCTCTCTCAGAGGTATCAAGAAGAGATGAGACGTCTAGTTGACGAGGGACATGCTGAGCGAGTCCCACATCAAGAACTCAGTGTTACACCCGGGGAGACCTGGTATCTCTCACACCCAACAAGCCAGAAAAGGTGAAAATTGTTTTGATTGTGCAGCCAAATGTGAGTTGATGTCCTTGAACAGCCAGGTGATGCAAGGGCCAGACCTTAACAGCAAATTTGATGGGAGTCCTCATCAGATTCAGACAAGGAAAGGTGGCACTCATGGCTGATATCAAGGCAATGTTCCATTAAGTGCGAGTAGTACTGAACATCGAGACGTCTTACGATTCTTATGATGGACGGACGACCAGCTGCCAGGGGCCCCGCCATTTACCAAATGACAGTACATCTCTTTGAAGGTATGTGTAGCCCTTCATGCGCCGGGTATGCGCTACAACGAACATTCCAAGATTGCAGGGAAAGTCTCCATGGCGACATCAAGAAAGCAAATCGTAACTTCTACATTGACGACCTGCTTCTCTCAGTAGATTCGCCAGGGAAGGCAACGATAATTACCCATTGACTGAGACAGCTGAGGAAGAAAGGCGGATTCGGACTTACGAAGGGGGTCTGTAATCACAGGGAAGTCCTCAAGGCAATTCCACAGACAGAGAAAACCGTGGGAGTAAAGGAAGTCATTTGAAAGACGACAGGCTCTCCACTGAACGATCGCTGGGAATCTTGTTGGACCTGGAAAAGGATGAACTAGAGGTCCGGGTACAGATCCCTAAGAAAGCAGAAACGAAACGAAGGCTTCTGAGTATGGTCAGCCCCATATATGACCCACTGGGACTCATGGCTCCGAGCGTCACATGAGCCAAAATTATATATATTCCAAGATGAATGTAGACGAGGTATTGGGTTGAATAACGAATCTCCGTGTGTGGCAAGGCCAAGATAGCCCCTCTGAAACAGCAGACCATGCCTCGACTCGAGCTCTGCGCGACAGTACGGGCTGCCAAGGCAGGCAAACGACTATGACGAGAACTTGAATTACAAATAGACAGATCAGTGTTCCGGACAGACAGTACGGCAGTCCTTCAGTACATACGAAACACCGAAAGACGCTTCCAGTCCTTCGTGAACAATCGAGTGGCAACGATACACGAGGACTCCAAGGTAGAACAATGGCGCCACGTGACGTCGGCACTGAACCCGGCCGACGACGCTAGTCGTGGATTACATAGAGCAGAGCTCAACGAGGAGGGAAGGTGGATTCGGGGACCTGCTTTCCTCTTGTTGGAAGAAGACAGTTGGCCAAAGAATCCATTGAGGATTCCAGACCTCAGAGACGGAGACCCAGAGGTGAAGAAGGAAACCACGGTGCTGACGACCAACGTTGACCAGGGGGAGGGTACCCTTGATAAGCTATGGGCCAGGTACTCATCGAGGCATCGACTTCTGAAGAGCGTAGCGTGGATTAGAAGGTTTATAGCAGGGGTGGCCAACCTGTCGACCGCGATCGACTGGTCGGTCGCAAGACCTTCTCTAGTCGATCCCATGGCAAAGTTAAACTTAATGATCCTTCCTTCGTAAGCTGCCATACAAAAATCCTCTTCAAATTTTACTCATAATCATTTGGATATTATATTTGTTTAGATTTTTTTCTGGGAATAGATTATCATTATGGACACATCAGAGCGATACATACAAAAAAACTTCGAATGTGCCATGCTTTGTGTGGCGGAACCTGATAGGAAGTGTTCGCGTTCATACGGGCCGGTGCTGGCTGGTTCCTGGTGAGGAAACTGATCAGCAAGTTGTCATCAGTTGTAGGCTAAAACTAGGCAGGTATTTGCTTTTATAAGTTTACAAATACGCGTTAAACCTTGTATTAATGAATTTGGTAATGAAAAAGTCAAATCGATATTGAGGAGTATTTTATAGCAATGGGTGAATATTAGGCTGGTAGATCGCGTCAGGGTAACTGTGGAAAAAGTAGATCACATCACACAAAAGGTTGGCCACCCCTGGATTATAGAATGGTGGCTTGGGAAGCGAAAGAACAAACATCACCGAGAAAATCGGCTCCAGGTCAGCGAATTGGAAGAGGCGAAATTAGCCGTCTTAAGATTGATGCAAAGGAAAGCATTCCCTCGAGAATTAGGAATGTTACAACATGGACAACCCGTGAGAGATCGCGACATAAGGCGGCTGGAACCTCATCTAGACACGGACGGTCTGATCAGAGTAGGTCGCCGACTGAAACACGCCGCTCTCCACCCAGACCAGGAGAATCCCATACCATTGCCAAGGGACAACAGGATCACGGGGCTCATCGTGAGAGAGGTACACTCAACTAGAGCTGGACACTCAGGACGAGAACACACTCTTGCCATAATACGTGAGACGTACTGGATAACTAAGTGCCGCAAATTACTCGACCGCACAATGCGGACGTGTGTGACTTGCCGAAGAAGCAACTAGAGGCCTACCCACCAACGCCAAGCCGACCTGCCAGAAGAACGAGTGTGCCGAGGAGGCTAGCCGTTAACCCACACTGGAATTGATTGCTTCGGCCCTTTTTTGGTTAAACAAGGACGAGCCCGGGCGAAGAGATGGGGATGCTTATTCACCTGCATGACCACCAGAGCCATACACCTAGAAGTCCTCACCTCACTAGACACCGACTCGTTCCTCAATGCAGGGACCTCCCAAGCGTGTTCGGTCTGACAGGGGAACCAACATGATTGGAGCTAGCCGAGAGTTACGAGAAGCAGTGAACGGCTGGAACAACAGTGACAAGGTCGGAAATGCCCTTCTACAGAAACAGATAGAATGGCAGTTCAACCCCCCCGACAGCCTCTCACATGGGAGGAGTGTGGGAGCAACAAATCCGCACTGTAAGGAAGGTCCTCCAAGGAGTGGTGGGCACCCAGACACTAGACGATGAACTCCTCAGCATTGTGTTCTGCGCCGTAGAAGAGATCATCAACAGAAGGCCCATCACCCCAGTGTCTGACGACCCAAAGGATCTAGAAGCACTAAGGCCGCTTCACATACTACGAATGAACCCGGAAACACTGTCCACTGGTGGCGATCGGTCCATGACAGAAGGGTACCGACGAAGATGGAAGCATGTCCAATTCATTGCGGACCAATTTTGGAAAGGGTGGGTAAAAGAATATCTCTCATCATTACGTGAGCGACAAAGGTTCTTCAAAACTCGCCGTAATCTCCACGCTGGGGATATCGTGATAATCTCTGGACAACCGCTTCCCAGGAGTGAGTGGATGCTAGGGAGAGTACTGGAGGCTCTACCGAGCAAAGATGGCTTGGTGCGAAGTGTTAAAGTGAAGACAAAGGACTCAGTGTTAATACGCCCAGTGACAAGACTCTACCTGTTGGAAGGGGACAGAGAGTGAATGTAATAATATGCCATGATTTCGTGTAAAGCCTGACAGGGGAGTGTGAGAGGCCACAGTAAGACAAACTGGAAGAGAGAGTGAAAGAGAGGGATAACCACAATAAGATAAACTAGGCGAGAGAGATATAGTGTTGACGACGAATTTGCCGAGGTGTTTAAATACGAAACAGATGGCCTTCGCCTCCGGGCTGCGATTGCTCTCGACAGTAGTCTACCGATTTCTGCAGGAGAGACAACACGTTGGTCAAACCCTAGACCCTAAAACATGAGTGTGATCGTGAACTATTAAATCCTCAAAAAAACTCTAAATAACTTTAATAAGTATATTTATATACTGTAATTTGATCATATTATACAAATTGTCTCCTGATGTATCAACAGATGTAACATGTGAGTTATACTTAAGATGTTAACAGGCTATGTACTGAATATTGATTGTATTATTCATTCTATGTGTCCTGAGATAACAGCATTTGTTTTATGTAAGTTGTTCTTCAACAGGCTTTAACCGAATTATATGGTACGAGTCAACGTTGAGAGTTTATTTCTCCAGCAACAAACCAATAATGCTCCTATGAGCATTAACAGATACAATCTTGTAGATAGCAAAAAATATATACGTGAGTAATATTAGTAGTTAAAACTTAACCTAAGCAACGATAAAAAAGAAACAGACCAAGTTTTAACATATATGAATTTATTTCGATTTAGTTACAGCACAAATAAATTAGCTCTTTTAAGATAAGACGTCCATTGGTCTTTAAGGCTTTATCGGACGTTTATCTCTAATAAGCAAGGCACACAACCACACACAATATATGAGAGAGAGAGAGAAATAATATTTACTTGTCCATATCACTTTATATACTCAGTTTTATTCTTTCAGAACAAATTATAAAATTTCGGAGATGGACGAGGGAGGGAAGATGAAAGAAGCGATCAACGAGGTGAAGGAAGATCCACAGGAGTTGAAAGAAGGGAAGGAAGTGGTCCAGGAGGAGAAAGATGGGAAGGAAGGAGACCTCTCGTGGGTCAACACCTTCGAGGACCTGTTGGAGGTAGTGGGCACCAACGGCCGCTGGAATATCCTTATGTTCATCATGTGTGTCACCTGTGAGTGTCCATCTGAGTCACTCTCTAAGTCACTTCTTGGTTTAATAACTAAACTAAGCGTCCACTGACTCATAAGATTTAGTCAGTTACTAACTGCCTGGTTTACTAAGGCAGTACGGTACAGATGTTAAATCAGAACATTTCTTAAATCTAGTAAGATTTTTCTACGCTACAATAAAAATAAACATGTTAAGATGAGAGAAGGAATGAAACTAAAAAGATCACAAGACGATTAAACACCGAGGCTTATATGAGTTATATCACCTTATGATTAAAGAGCCTAACCTTATATTAGTTTATCATTAGGGTGGTTAATCCTTAGGCGAAATATGCTGGGGTGTTAATATTCATGTGATCCAACTACAGTAAACACACGGGTACTGGGAGTATAGGTCGAGTGTCTTCCTCTTAACAGCGATGACGATATCGCCGCTACAAACTTTGTCCTACCAGTTCCTCGGGGCGACACCTGACTACTGGTGCCACATCGCCCCCCTGGTAGAGGCCAACTGGACGGACCAACAGATACTCTCCCTCGCCATTCCTTACAGGTTAGTCCTCGTTCTTATTACTAGTAAGGGAAGAAGGAAGCTCTTCCCTTCACCATCATGATCCTCTACACGTCTTCTGTGAAACTGTCTAACTGAGCAAATTTGATCATGTATGAATAAAATTCCTCTAAGCTAGTGTAAAAAGTAACTCAATGTCCAGCCAAAGGAAGAGATTTGGGCCTTTATGATACCTAGACTTGTTTCAGAAACAAGAGTAGGCTACACTAGTATGCCGCTGATAAAAAAAAAGCAAATTAATGCGCTCACAGATCATTCTGTTCCGTTTTTTATCATGGCAAGGAGCTATCCTGCCACGACCTCGGTTCTTACCCACAAACAAGGTTTATAAGCCTCGCCCACAGCAACTGTTTAAATTTACACAAGTAAACATGTTATCATCCGGGTATTTGGTTGCAGCAACTCTACAGGGTAGTATGAAGGATGCCAGATGCGCAACTACAACTACACGGCTGCGGCGCTGCTGGGATACGAAGCCACCATGAAGGACCCTTCCGTCGTACAGCATGGGAACACCACCAGCATCATCAAATGCTCAGCCAGAGACTTTAACCACTCCCAGTACTCCTCCACCGTCGTCACTGAGGTTAGCTTTGGGTGAATAACACGTAATCCTACAATAAGAAATCCCTGTTATCCCCACAACAAGACGATCAAATTGCCGGACACTTCAAACATGCTAGGATCCGTGTTGCCACATACAAGTTTGTTTGAGAAAGACGGTAAGATGTTGCTCCAACTACCAAAACAACACAAACCTTTACCTCTTGGAAAATTCAAGACATACAGACGCTATGGCTATACATAAAACACATTAACTATCGTCCAGAAGCCTCCATAATGTTTATCTTTTGTTTTTAGAAAACTCCTTAATTTTTCAGCATTAATCTGAGTTTACAAAGATATACTTTATGCATAAGCTTGGTATACTGTGACAGCTAAGATAGATTAGCGGCTGAGTAAGGTCACAGATCGAAACTTGATTCTACAAATCTACATTTTTCAAGCTGTTCCAACTGTATAACTATAAGAGGTTAATAGCCAGAGGAGCGTACTATTTATAGCAGGCAACCAAACATAGAGACGTGCCTCACCGTATTCGTCTCTGTAATATGGTTCTCGACCAACTTCCCTATATTTCTCTGGCAGTTGATAAGTATAATCCTGTGGAAATTCAGTTTTAAGCTGGCAGTAGTTAAACAGAATCACAGTTTATGTTAGGATGGCTGGAAGCTTCGGGTAATCGGTTTTATTGTCACTTATAGCGGGTAATCAAGTTTGTTTATCTACCAAGCGCATTCACTGAGCACCTCGCCACATCCTTCGTGTGAAAATATCAACGGATTTTCTTGAAACTTACAGAGACATCACTGCCCCTATACACGCAGATAAAATTAATGAATAGGTATTATTCTAGCAAGGGGTTCGACGCTGTTCTTCTAGTTTGAGGGATTAACTTTCTGCACCTTAAGTATTGGCTGCCTTTATTGAGCACAGCCAGGAATATATTAAAATTTGGGTGATGTCTTCTATCGTTAAGCAGATATTTCATTTTAAGTATCGACTTTATTCTAGGTATTTACATCATTTTAAGCATTGACTTTAATTTTGGCAATAAAAATAATTCATATATTCAGTTCACTTCAGGTATTAATTTAATTTCATGCATAGAAATTATTTTAATTGTTGACTTCACTTTAGGTATGGGCAGTTTTAAGTACTAACTTTATTTTGGGTACGCGCATTTTTGGTATTGACTAGTTTAGGTTATTTCACTGCAGTGGGTTTTTAGCTACCCTATTTGAACTTATTCCTATTTAAGTTATTAACATGAACCAAAGCTGTAAAGTATTTGACAGATTACACAGTAAAGCCAAGGGTGAATAGGGAGACATTTACCTTTATAAATATACCCAGCTAGAGACAAGCGAGTAATTATCAAAAAAACTTATTCTTCTTTGAAGTTTTAATTCCAGTCTTTCCATTCGTGTGTATCTTTCTTTGGCCGGGCGTGGGTGCAACAGTGGGACCTGGTGTGTGAGCGTCGGGTGCTCTACTCTACCACCCAGGCCGTGATGCAGGGAGGCAAGATCGTCGCTTATCCTATCTTTGGCTACCTTATTGATGCGTAAGTGTTGGCAGTTCTATTAGTCAGTGTTGGCAGCCCTGGAACTCACTGTTGATAGTTCTGGTAGTCAGTGCTGCATAAATGTGCATTGTATTTATATATCTATGTCTATGTCTATATCTATAATATCTATGGGCCATGCTTTTTCCCCTCTTCATAATGTGGGGATTTTCCTGTTATTATCTGAGCTTTAAGATCATGTGGCACCCCAGATAGGGTGCGGTCAGTATTCCATTGTACAGGAAATGAGTGTGGTCATGACCCAACCAAGGGAATAGGTGTGGCTGCTTGAGTTGCCAGGTTGCCAGTTGGTGCTTGTGTTCTCATGGTTATAACATTTAATTTAGCTCATATTTAATTAACATTGTGTTCTCATAAATATTCCCAACCTTCTCCCATTAAAAAACTTGCCTCAAACCTTATTGTAGTTAATGTAAGCCTGTGAACCAAATATCGTTCATCTGTGTACAGCCCAACATATACACCAATGAGCGGATCTTACTGAGCCGGCCTGGGTCAGGACACCTTTGCCAGGGAATGTTAGGTGCGAGTCATTGGTGCCTATGCTGTTCTCCCAATTAGGGAAGAAGTGCATTTATATTAAGTCTTGTACATTTTATTTGTAAATATGTGTAAATAGGGTAGATTTACCGAGGTGTTTCGGTTGGTCCCTTTCACCCAGGATTTCATTCATCAGCTAAGACTGAGAGCTTGTACCTGAAGAGAATTTCATGACGCCTACCCTATTAAAGCTAGTCAGAGCAGTATATCACTGTTGTTCAGATGTGACTATTGGGGTAAGCTTGGGCAAGATACAGAGAGTTGTGATAGTTGGCAGCTTTGCAAGTCATTGTTGGCAGCCCTGTAAGTCATGTTGGTAGCTCTGTAAGTTATTGTTGTAGCTCAGTGTTGGCAGCTCTGTAAGTCAGTTTTAGCACCCCAGTAATTCAGTGTTGGCAGCTCCATAGGCGAGTGTTGGCAGCCCAAAAAGCACGTTCTAACTCAGGGATGCCATTAATGTCGGTACTCCCGTAACTAACGCCCCACTGGTGTTGTTAATATTGGGGATGCTCTAACTTATTAAGCCAAAGAGAAATTTTAACTACCTTTAAGAATATATAATTTAGATATACCTAAGATTATTATTCTGAAAACAGGAGATTGTTTTATGCAACATGTGAACATGTGTGCGAACACAGATGTACAGATTCACATAATTTGTGATTATATTAACTTCAAGGACTTATTTGTTCATCCATGCATCAAACACAACTTCAAAAATCTCAACGACACTCTTTCTCTTGATGTATGGTTATGTTCCAGTGGTAGCTGTTTCAGCCCTTACAAATAGTATCGTCGAAATTCCTCAGGTATCGCTTAATATTTATGTTTAGTTTATATCCTCATGGGTACAGGTGGCCGCTTAAATTTGCAAGTTGCTGTATTATCATCATCTTGAGAGTACTATTCAATTTTATGTTTAAGTTCACCACAGAGGCACACTTAGCTCACATAAGAAAATAAGGAGTCTGCAATAGGCCGGTTAGCCTGTGCATGGCAGCTCCTGTCGAGAATTACTACCACTTTCTATCATCCATGAAAATATCTAGCCTCCTTTTAAAACTTTTCAGAGTTCCAGCGCTTACTACAAAGTTGCTAAGCTTGTTCCACTCGTCCACCACCCTATTTGTGAACCAGTTCCTTCCTATCTCCCTCCAAAACCTAGACTTATCCAACTGAAATCCGTTGCTACAAGTCGTATCCTGCTCGGGAATTATAAGAACTTTATCTATATCGCCCTTATTGATTCCCTTCACCCACTTAAACACTTAAGAACATAAGACCATAAGGAGTCTGCAATAGGCCGGTTGGCCTGTGCATAGCAGCTCCTGTCGAGAGTTACTACCACTCTCTATCATTCATGAATCTATCTAGCCTCCTTTTGAAACTTTCCAGAGTTCCCGCACTTACTACAAAGCTGCTAAGCTTGTTCCACTCGTCCACCACCCTATTTATGAACCAGTTTCTTCTTATCTCCCTCCTAAACCTAAACTTATCCAACTTGAATCCGTTGCTCCAAGTCCTATCCTGCTCGGATATTATAAGAACTTTATCTATATCCCCTTTATTGATTCCTTTCACCCACTTAAATACTTCTATCATATCTCCCCGCAATCTTCGTCTTTCTAGGGAATGCAAGTTTAGTTTCTTTAACCTATCTTGATATGGAAGGTTTCTAAGTCCCGGAATCATTTTCGGCATTCTTCGCTGCACTGACTCCAGTGAATTGATATCCATTCTATAATAAGGGCACCAGAACTGAACGGCATAATCGAGGTGCGTCCTGACTAGCGCAAGATATAGTTGCAATAAGACCTCTGCACTCTTATTACTTACACTTCTAGATATACAACCTAATACTCTGTTGGCCTTATTTTGAACATTAACGAATTGTTTTCTAGGCCGTAGGTCCGGGCCTACAAGGACCCCTAAGTCTCTTTCACAAGTCGACCTCTCTAGGTTGATGTTGTTAAGGCTGTATACATTGACAGTATTTGTTCTTCCAATATTAAGTACGCTGCACTTCCTGGTGTTGAATTTCATTTGTCATTTTTCTGACCACTCCTGCAGTTTATTTAAATCCTCCTGAAGTGCATTTACATCCTGCCCTGAATTAATCTGTCGCCCTATTTTTGTGTCGTCCACAAAATTGCTTATGTCACTGCTGATCCCAGTATCTAGATCTTTTATGTAGATTATGAACAAGAGTGGGTCCAGTACTGACCCCTGGGGAACCCCACTGGTTACACAGCCCCACTCAGATTTAACACCATCTACGCTGTCCCTCTGTGTTCTATCGATGAGCCATGATTTTATCCAATTTAAAACTTTCCCCTCGATACCATGAGCCTTAACTTTTCTCAGAAGCCTCTGATGCGGTACTCTGGCAAACGCTACCTCGAAGAGTTCCTAAAAAAACGTCAGCAGATTTGTTAGACAATCATATAAAATTGCCATCACAATCTTGAATGGCTGTACTATTTAAAATATGTCTAATTATATCTTATTAGAGACTATACATCCTTCCCAAGGAAAACTAATGACTCGCTTTTGGTACACAGGCTTGGACGTCGTCCAATAGTGCTGGTGTGTGTGGTTATCAACATCCTGGCTGGCTTCTTGGTTGCTGCCTCGCCCACTGTCGAGGTTTATATTCTCCTTAAGCTCATTGTCTCCGCCACTGACGCCGGGACGTATCTTGGGATCTTCGTGTTTGGTATGTTTGTTTTCCAGATGGTTTCCTGAGGTAGGTGTTAATAGCATGAGTGTTGCATGATCCATATTTTGTGGCTCCTGAGACAGGTGATGAAAGTTCAAGTTTTGCAAACTCTGTCTGTCCTACTTCCTTGGCCAGACAGTGGTTGACAATAAGAGTGTTATGTAACTAATACTATCTATTTAGCATGGTGAGGCACGTACTAAGGAATGAGGTGTTGAAGCAGCTAATAATGTTAGGACCTACGATACATGTGGATCATTATATAATCGGTGACATGTATGTTGGAGTAAGTGAGTATTGCTTCTGCTGCAAGAAGTACTTTGTGAGTAACGTGAAGTGGTCAGCAGAGAGATAGATAGAGAGAGAGAGAGAGAGAGAGAGAGAGAGAGAGAGAGAGAGAGAGAGAGAGAGAGATATGCAAGTAAATCACTGTAGGTGCGCGCGATCCCAAGCCCACCCATAACCATAAGAATCTCTTAGTATTACCATTTCACAAAAATTTATCTCAAACTCCTTTACAACTAAAAACCTGGAACGTCAATGTGGCATTTAAAAACTCATGCACTGTTAAACAAATGTTAATCAAGAACTCCTCCAACAACACAATTGGTTGCATTTATAAGGTTCCTTGCAAGGAATGTAATATGTTTTACTTAGGCCAGACAAGTAAAGATCTTGTAATTAGACTTAAACAACATAAATATAGCGTTAGGACAGGCCAGGAATCCAATGCTCTGTTTGTTCATTTCAGGGATAATAAGCATTGCATTGACTGGGATAATGCCTCCTCAATATTTCCTTGTAATTCAATTGACAGTAGGAACATTATAGAATCTAGTCTCATTAAACATACCGAATCCGTCAACATGAATTTGAGTTAAGATATGTACAAACTGGACAATTTTGTAATTAAGAAGATTTGTAACCAGGTGAGAAGGTTGGGTCACCTTAGCCTCTGACCAGACTACCGACCGTTGCGGTGCCTTTTAAAGATTAGTAGGGTCATTATCTAATACATGACCATTGTGGACCTGACCTCACCCTCCTCTGTATATATATATACCTTGTTTTGTACTTCTCCTTAGTCTGTACTCACCCCTGAAGATGTGAATTACAGGAAAGCGCTTGGGAACTTCGTGTTTTCTTTTTCCTTGTGGTTATCAGCATATATATATATATATAGAGAGAGAGAGAGAGAGAGAGAGAGAGAGAGAGAGAGAGAGAGAGAGAGAGTTTCTCAGAATAGTGTGCTGTGGGCCTGGCCAAATTTTCTTTTTAAGTTAGGTCAAGTTAGGTATGGTTAAGATATGTGTGGTTATGTTTGGTTAGGCTCAAACTACAAGACCCACTTTCTGTCCACCCCCGTCAGTTATGGAGACGTGCGCTACCAAATACCGAGCAGCAGTGGGTTGCCTTGTAGGAATACCGTGGGCCATAGGATACATGATAACCCCTGGTATAGCCTATCTGGTGCGTCCTTGGAGGTGGCTCCAGTTTGCCTACGCCTTGCCTTCCCTCTGCTGCATCATCTACTTCTGGTGAGTCTACTGCCCGCATCATTTACTTGTATTGAATGGGATACTGTCTGAGTTTTTCCCCATCCAAACGAGGGTAAAACAAGGATGGGTACTGGCACCAACTCTCTTTTCCATTTACTTGGCTTCCTTCCGTACATGTGCCAGAGCCAATTTAGCCGGCGGGTGGACATCAAGTATCGGATGAAGAGACTTTTCAACATAAGACGACTCCAGGCAGAAACAAAAGTGTCGCCCTCTTCCATCACTGAACTTCAACATACAGACGACTTCAAACTAGTCGCTCACAATGAATGCGACCTACAGGAGATCCTGAACACCTACACATATGCGTATGCACACTTCGGCCTTAAGATAAATGTATGTGCGACTCAGATTCTCTTTCAGCCTGCCCTTGGTTCAGCCACACCTCCACCACCCATCCAGAATAACGGTACTACCCTTTCTAATGTTACCCAGTTTCATTATCTAGGCTCCCAACTGCCCACCACTGCGCCATCGATGAAGAGATTTAGCATCGGAATTACTGGGCACCTCAAGCCTTTGGCAGACTCTGTACCCCTGTCTTCAGCTGTAAGGAGCAAAAATTATCTACAAAGCTGCACATATATCGATCATGGTTTTCTACCGATCACGTAGATTTTGTGCGCTGAGGTGTTGAACAGTAGACACGTAGTGTAGTAACTCCCTCACAGATGGTGTTATGAGGGGCATCACGGTGTACTAATTCCCTTACAGGTGGTGCTATGAGGGGCCTCACATGGTGTAGTAATTTCCTCACAGATGGTGTCATGAGGGGTCTAATGTGATGTAGTAATTCCCTCACAGATGGTGTTATGAGGGGCCTCACATGATGTAGTAATTCCCTCACAGATGGTGTTATGCGGAACCTAACATGATGCTGTAGAACTCATTCACTACGTGGTGTCGTAGCATCATGTGGACACCACGTGGTCTGGTGTCACAGGACTTCACTCACTCAAGTGAGGTAGGTGTGGTCCCAGGCTTCCCTATTGTGGACGAATTAACTCATAGCTGGTGTTGTTGAGTCTCACGGGCAGTTATCACTGGGTACCTAGGACCACACTGTGTGAAGGTTAGCTTGGGTACGACTCAGCTGTTACTGTCGAGTTGTTTTTCACTGACTTAGGCACTGTTCACCACTATTCAACACTGGTTCCATTCCTTTCGAAAATGAAATAGTAACTTCTCGCGAGAACTTGTTGATATTCGGGTGGGGAGGAGGGTTCAGGAGAGAGGGTTGGTATGGGCCAACATAACAGTTAACCTGGCTGCTCCCAGAGCAGCGCCAGGTACGTCAAGGATAATGTGTGTGTGTGTGTAATAATAAAAATAATTAATAATAATTAACGGTTTATTGAAAGAGCTTGGCAGCCAGAAGGCTGAAAATATACAGTTACATATTTGGGGAATGGGTTACGAATTACAAATAATATACAAGTAACATGAGTGACACAAATAAGACATATAATAACTAGATGGGGAAAAGCTCAAACTACAGTTCATTTCAACATAGTGACAGTGCAAGGGGTAGTGTTTACTGGGAGTGAATACACTGATTTATTACAAGTTATTGATAATTTTTACAATGGTTGGGACTGGGCTGTTCTTATAGCGATCAGTTCGTGCACGTATGGGCTGGATGCGGTTGTGGTGTCGAACAGCAATTCTCGGACTAGGGATCTCAGGTGGTAGTAGGAGCCGGTGTCGGGGATGGTGTAGAAGCTTCTTATCAAATTTGCAGATGAGGTCGTGGTGATGGTCAGTGAGAGTCGAAAGGGTCAGTGTGTTGAGCGCTTCTTGATATGTGGAGTAGGAAGGGGAGAGAATAATCTTGCATGCCCTCTTTTGCACTTTTTCTAGGTGTTTACGTTGTGTGGCATTTAGGGAGGAAGACCAGGTGGGGGAGGCATAGGTGAGCTTGGGAAGTATGAATGTTGTGTAAACACTGAGGAGCTCTTGTGCAGGAACTCCGAGGGACTTGAGTCGGCGTAGGAGGTGGAGACGGAAACTGGAGGATTTGATAATTTCACTGACGTGTGGTTTCCAATTTCATTTGTTGTCTATGGTGACGCCGAGGAGCTTCGTGGAATCTACAACCTGGAGTGTGTTCGGACCTAGAGTAATGGAAGGAGGTGGGACAATGTCGGAGAGGTTGATGTGCATACCATGGTCTTGGTATGGTTGATGGTGACATGGTTGTTGGTGGCCCAGTTTTGGAGACTGTTCAATAAATCCTGAAGGGCGGTATAGTTAGGAGCAGAATTGTGACTCTGATCCCAATGGTGGAGTCGTCGACATATTTCCAGCGAGCAGGGGTTTCTCTTAGGGCATCATTGATGAGCATAAGGAAGCAGAGTGGTCCCATCTTGGTGCCTTGGGGGACGCCACAGGTGAGTGACTGAAAGGTGGAGACAGCCCCTCGGAAGCGTACAGCTTGGCGTCGGTCACTGAGAAGTCTGTAAGCCATGGTATAAGACTTCTCCGAAGCCCGAGGTCAATAGCTTTGTTGATGATTATATTGTGGTCGACTAGGTCGAACGCTTTAGTGAAATCAATGAAGGCGACAGCTACAGACGTTTTTCGTTTCTCGAGATGGCGGTATATGTAATCGAGAAAGCTGACAAGACAGTGAGTGGTGGAGGAAGTTTTCATGTTGCCAAATTGCTGTGTGTGTGTGTGTGTGTGCTTTTGAACTAGGAATATTAAAACAATACCGCCTTCCAGGCTGTTACCAAAGTCACCCCGGTGGTTGATTACTGAGGGTCGCTTTGAAGAAGCTCTGAAGATCATGACCAAGATCGCTAAGGTCAATCGGAAACCGCTACCTTCTGACCCCGTCGTCCTCGCTGCTATGGAGAACATCGTTAAGCAGGTGAGACCAAGAACCATAGTGTTCGAGGAAACTAAACCCTGATGGGCTTGAGTGTCCACTTGTCGCTCATTTTCTGTCTATTTATATTTCCATCTTTTGGAATTAAACCTCAGAGGTGTCGTTTCCTCATCCACTTCTTATGTTTTATATAAGTCAATACTTTTGAACCTTTAGCTCTACTGGCTTCCTGTCTTATATTATCTTCTTCTGGTAAACTACACCTACAAGTGAATTTTTCCACACCCTGTGTTGCTATCCCGTGTTTTAGTCAGTATCTGCATCTATCAGTCTCAACATTATTTGTATTGCCGTCATCCTCAGAAACTTTGCTGATTTCCAGGGATCTCGGGAGGAGGAGGAAGACCAGACCGACAGAGAGGCCACCATCATGTCTCGCTTCCTGGCAGTCATAAAGCAGGTCGTCATCTTGCTGACTATACGCCAGCTTAGACTCAGAACCTTGGTCGTGTTCTTCTGTTGGTTCGCTGCCTCCATGGTCTACTATGGTATCGCCCTCAATGCTACAAACCTCAGGTATGTCGTCTTCCTAGATTGTCATGATCTATTCTGTAATGCCATAGGCCAATACACTAGCTGGATGGAAATGTAGAATCTTGTTTATGCCAGTGATAAAGCGTTGGTTCATTTGTTATTATCATTCCAACACATACCGTTTGACAATATGATTAAAGTACCTCCTCTCTTTTCTTATGGTTTCAGCAATGAGTCTTATGTCGAGAAATTTGATTCCAACAAGTGTCATTTTTTTCCTCACAGCACAGACACTTTCTACATTTGGTTCACCTTATTCAAATATGGCAGATCTGTCGTTACTGTTGTGATTTATTTGTTCCTGCTTCGATACAGAGACCGTATTTTGCCCTATTAATTTCAGCACCCTTTCTTTTTTCAACGTAAAGGCTAAACTCTGTAACTGTCGTTACAATACTATATCTTTAATCGTCTTCCAGCACAAAGGCTGCTTATGCTCTTGTCGTTCCAGCAATGACTTCTGGCTTGGCCACACTGTTAGCATGGACACCAACTTCTGCCTTTATCATTCAGAGGGACTTGTAAAGCCCCGTCCACACGATCGAGCAGTTCCCGGCGGGCTTTGCCCGTTTACCGGGCAAAGCCTGTATGTTGTTGTACACACGGGGGTGGTTGGCGGCAGTCCTAGTCGGGCGCCGGTAGCTAGTCCGCAGTGGCGGGTGCAGTACAATCACCATGGTGTGTCGCTGGAATAATCGCCGGACAGTTAAAGCGAAGAGCATATTGTTGTGTACTGTAATAATTGCTGCTATGTGCAAAAAGAAGAACCAAATGCAGAAAAGGGAATGGTGCAAAGAGTGGTTAAGTCGAAGAAAAGAATTGGGAAGTCATGCCACGATTTTACGTGAACTGCGTGGATATCCATGTTTTATATACTGTCGAATTGTCACCATCAATGAGGAAATGCAGTGCATCAAAGCACCATAATGTGGACACGTAATTGTCCTCACTCCCAGCTCCAGACTTTCTTTATTTCTGCATCTTTCTTAGTTCCCGTCTATGCTGATTTCGAATTGTTTAAATTTTTCTCTTCGTCACTTGTGGTAACTGAAGTCCCACTTCTCTTCATAACCTCTAATAGCATTCAGTGCCGCTGTACGTTTGTCCCTATCCAAGTCCGTTTTGACATTCCATAGGAAAGGGTGCAGGCGATAGAGTTCAATTAACAGCATGGTCTCTTCTCTAGACCAATGAATGTTTTTGTTCTTTGGTGGACGGAGGACTAGACATTGTACAGTGGTGACTGTTGTGGCGAGACTGAGAAATTGACAGCCAGGGTCAACATCGTTTGTCTGGTAGAGTCGTCGCTCCATAAAGCCCCGTCCACACGACCGAACAGTGCCCGGCGGACTTTGCCCGTTTACCGGGCAAATCCTGTGTGTCGTCGTACACACGGAGGTGCTGGTTGGCAGCAGTCGCACTCTGCCGCTGGTAGCTAGTAGGTGGTCGGCAGTAGCTGCTGCGGTACGATCACCATGGTGTGTCGCAGGACAGTTAAATCAAAGCCTATAGTGCTGTGTATAATAATTGCTACAGTGTACAAAAAGAAGAAAAAACAAAAGGGAATGGTTATCTCAACAAAACGTTAAGGGAAGTCATGCCACGATTTTACGTGAACTGCAAGGTGAACATGAGAAAGACTTCACTAACTACATGAGAATGGACCCCAACACCTTCTATAGACTTCTCGCAGCAAACGGTCAAACCACCTGGCAGACGGCCTTATCTGGTGATATCGTTCGACCACGGGCAAGGGCACTCCATTAGTTTGCCCGTCAATTTTGCCCGAACAACGGGCATTAAGCGAGTGCCCGTCGGGCAGTGCTCGATCGTGTGGACGGGGCTTAACAGTGTTTTTGTTCCAACACAGACACCATTCTGATTCTGCTGTTCCACGTCTTAGCTCCCTAACATTGATCATGTTGTAACATTAAAACCAGCCTCTGATTGTACTGTTTCTTCATTGTTAAAGTTAATGTATTACTACATCTCAACACCTAAGATCTTTGAGTTCGTAACCAATTATAGTAATACATCATTCACTAACACATTAAACTTGAAAATCATCTTCATGTATTAAGTCAATGATCCACAACTCATGTACTCCTCTTTCAGCACCGATCCATACCTTTACATCTTCCTGGGAGGTCTATTGGAGGTGCCATCGTACCTGATCTTGTGGCCGGCACTCGTGTACATAGGGAGGAAGAAGTCCCTGGTGGCCCTATATCTTATAGGTGCCGTCTGTATCTTTGCCGTGATGGCAATAATGCTTGTATATCCTGGAGGTGAGTCTGGTGTCCTGGTAAGTCTTCTCTCGCTCTCTCTATTTCTTTGATTTTTCGAGTCCTCATTACTCGATCAACATCTGATGATTTAGAATTCTAAGTTATGTGTTGGTATTTTTCCTTCATGTGTACTGAATAAGAATATATTTTTGTTGTTATTATTATCATTATTTTTATTATTATTATTATCATTATTATTATTATTACATTCTCGACTCCCCCACTAGGAGAGCAGGTAGCCAAGGTCTTCTTCTCACAGAGCGGGAAGGTGGCGATATCAGCGGCCTTCCAAGTAGTGTGGATGTACACGGCGGAGCTCTTCCCTACCAAGTACCGCTCTTTAGCTGTGGGGGAAGCCAGCTTCTGCGCACGCCTTGGCAGTATTTCGTCACCGTATATTAATGATATTCTGGTGAGAGACATTTGTGTGGGCATTTGTGTTGGTGATGTAGATCGTAAAGTTTATGAGTTTAGGAAGTTTTTTTTATGGTTTGATATTAATAATAATATATTGTGGTTTCAGCAATATAAACATACACGCTGTATTCACAGTTTGTCTTGTGTTGCAGGGAGGTTACACCGTATGGGCACCGGCGGCGCTATTCGGGACAGTCTCTCTTATCTCCGCGGTGCTGTCACTCTTCCTGCCAGAGACAAGACACTGCACTCTGCCGGAATCCAACGATCTTTTTTCCAAAAAGAAGGACAAGGAGGCAGACAGAGGAGGAAGCAAGGAAACATCCCTGGAGGATGTGAGTCAGGGGGTGATCAACCAGTCATACAACACAGACTCCCTGTAGTCTAGTGGATAAGGACAAAATCGTGCTCCTTTTGTTACAAGTATGAGACAAAATCGGGCACTTCTTGATACAAGTATGGGACTTGGAATACAGTTACTATGACCCATAAAGATTGGGATGTGGACAGCGGTGGCGGCCATTTTTTGAAAATGGCCGTTTCGCCCAAGTATAATTGGCAATATTTCGCTTAATATGTGACCTACAGATGTACTTTTTGGTGTTAATATCCAAGTTTTTAGGGTTAAGGAATACAGTAAAGCCAATATTTTCCACACACACACACATATATATATATATATATATATATATATATATATATATATATATATATATATATATATATATATATATATATATAACCGGTCGGAATTTACTGGACTTTAATTTCTCACTTGACTTGGGGTTTATTAGAAATTAATAGATGGTAATGGCAGTGGAAGCGCCCCTTTGAGAAAAATCCCGAACCAGCACAAGAACACTTAAATCTACTAAACAAAATGACTTGTCCGTGACCCGTGGAAGGATAGCGTCTGTGACTGGGATGAATGAGACACTGTAAAATTTAGACATTTATATTCCCTCCAACACTACAAACACAATCAAATAATGGTACACCAATATGCGCACCTCTTAACTTAAACTTAAAACACTACTCTGGGGAATAAAAGTTATACATGATATAGAAATTATTAGAAACACAGGCAACAATAAATTTGAAGTATTAAGAAATGTTGCTTGCACACATGAAACAGGCCTTAAGGGCTTTCACAAAATAATATCAGTCACTTAGGAAATGGTATTAAAAAATAAGAAATTAACTACTCTACAATGAATAGGCCTTAAGGGCTTTCAACAAAATAATATCAGTCACTGAGGAAATGGTAATAAAAAATAAGAAATTAAATACTCTACAATGAATAGGCCTTAAGGGCTTTCACCAAAATAATAGCACCCCAACAGATGCACACTTCCTAACCTAACTTAACCACTACTCTGGGGAACAAGGTTATACCTGAGATCAGAATTATGAAGAACAATTAGATGCATTAACAGAATCAAATCACAGGATCACTCTGGTTCCACTTAATGGCACAAACATTCAAAACAATACTATCAAAATTATTTAGGACTATTAAACTACACACGTCAAGATAATATCAGTCTGAGGAATGGTGTTAACTACACCCGTAATAAGGGAGGGAAGATGTTCCTCTAGGTATCTCCTAGAGTCCTAGACTCACGGTCTCAGTGTGTGACCATTAGTTTACTCAGATAGCCTCAGTGTACTCCCAGTGCGTCCATAAAGCGGAAGGGAGTGAGCCAATCAGACCTTGTACAAATGAGAGAAACTTTAGCTTCCCGTTAGCAAGAGGGTTTCACTAAGCTGCTCGGGACATGTGGTGTTGTGCACCCGAGTGGTAAGAACTGATCACCCACTGTGGATGCTGGTCCCGTCGTTTTAGTTGTCGGAAGCACTCGTTCACTCAAGAGATCCTTTGCTACCCAGCTAAACAGTGACAGGCCTACACTGATCGGTCCAATGGCGACAATCGCCACCCTCAATCATCAACGGCAGTCTCAAACGGCAGTCAATCTCTCGCAGTCTTCAACTCCGGTCAACTCCAGTCAAGTGGGTTCTGACGGAAACCCTGAAATGAACTCACTGTTAGCTCTAGTTTACTTTACCACTGCCCTATCTAACCCTGTCTGAGATCGAATGAGACTTACTTGTTATACTGCAATAGCGCAACACAGGTGACTAGACCACGTGACTATTTCTGTGGACGGACGCGCAGGGATGTCCTGTAGGTCCAATCGCTTTCACGTGACTGAGGACCAGCCAGCGTCGCGTCTCTCCAAGGCGCTAGCTTAGGCCTACGTGACATATTTTCCGCCTAACTAATAACTCCTTGGGACACCCGTAACATTATTCAGACTGATAAACGATCTATAATAATTTCAATTTCAATAATAGTCCCTTACTTCATGAATCGCATCATTATTAATTCGGTAAATTACATTTAATATCATATAGGCCTAGTTCGGCAATCTCTCGCTATGAGCAGGCAGCGCTCTCTCCCCTCAGATGACCTTGAACGCTCAGTATCGCTAATGGCGGGGCATTTGAAATTACTCTGAAATTTCTGAATATTACAATCGACCCCCCTAAAAAAAGACAGCACTGTCCTCATGTGCTGAGAAAACATGCATACGACCCCCCTAAAATTTTGTTCTAAGGACTGCATCTTACCCCTTTTGCTAAACGCAGCATTCCCGTCTTCTCTTCTCTCCTTTTCTCTCCCGCTAACATATATATATATATATATATATATATATATATATATATATATATATATATATATATATATATATATATATATATATATATATATATATATTTATATATATATATATAGTGTTACGGTCATCTCCCCTTTCAATCAATATTTGTTTCAGTTACCCATTGTATTTAGTTTCTATTGTGTCCCGTTTTTCTTTAGAATCGAAATTCCAAGCTCATGGTAAAGATTTTTAAAAATGTCTTGATTATTAGTATGTATAATAGTATTTGTTTCATTTCGTAAACTTGTATTTTTGTATTTTTATTTTTTCACAGTTATGAAAGACTGTAAGAAGCAGGCATGAAGTATAAGAAGAATTAGAAATTATATGTTGATAAAACAAGAAAGTATTGGAACATTTTTGTTTTGGTAACGCTCTTTCTGTAGCTAGGTTAAAGAGGATAGTAGGGTCAAGCTTGAGTGGTGCATATTTATCTATTATTATCTGGGCAATCATGGATAATTATGGTGTTAACTAAAGTGTAATATGTTCATTATAGTCTAAAGATTATTGTAGTAGTGAGAGCATTGTATTTGGTGGAGATAACATTATTTTGAGTGAATTGATTTGTGGCCTTTTTGTATGTGCATGGATGGATAGCACATATTCATTCAACCTAACCTAACCTAAGCTAACCTAACCTAAGCTAACCTAACGTAACCTAACCAGTTTTAATAGGAACAGTGGTATTAAAATAAACACCTGTCAGGAGATTGTTAGCCAGAAATAAGTTAAGGGTCTGTGTTTAACATTTAATCTCTGTTAACAGAAGCTGTTATTTCAATCTGCACTTATATAATGGGCCTATGGGCTAACTATACATCACTATACATCCTCTAGTGATTCCTAGAAGAGGGTGTGAAGTTTGTAACAATATATGTAGGATTATGATACACATATAAATATAGTAAAACTGTATTGATAAATTCTGAAATTATATGATTCTTCTTTAGTTTTAACAAATAAAGAAAAAAAGTAGTTGCCCAGTAAACCTATAGAGTAACCAGTGTGCTAACCAGATTCAGGCTGTACCTCACACCTGACAGACGTGAGGCCGGCGGCTCTTGCCTCGTGTTGGTTAATCCGTAAATAAACCCAACATATTATGATGCGTTATAACTATATTTTTATAATAATTGGAAAGAGCAACCGAATGTTTACTAAGAGCATTAACACTACGAGATACACACATACATCTATTAATTGTTACTACTAGTGAGAGTAGCAAGAAGTAATATCTACAATCAAAAGAGCTAAGTGTGGTGCCGTAGTGCAGTGACCAGCCTTGACTCTAGTTCAAAGTGTGACAGTGGTGAAGATTCCATACTCTTATAATTCTCCACCACAAAGTTATATTAAGGTGTTCCCAGGTGGATTGCACTTACCATACATAAATGACCTCTTGACGGCTGACACTCACCTGGAAGTCAGACAGATCGAAGAAGAGTATGAGATAACAGATGATGACCAGGAGGAGACTGGACACGAAGGTGTTTCTGATGTAGTAGCCGAAGAGGTTCTTAAACAACCACAACCACAACAACAACAACAATAGAACATGAAAAAATTGGCAAGTGTGCCTAGCCTTACCTGTACGAGACTGATGTTTCCTTGAGTCCTCACCGTCTCCTTCACTAGATCGTATTCCAGCAAGCGTAGTGACCTTTCAAACCTTACCCCGGTAGCGTCCTGGAGAAGAAGTTCGTGGTTAAATATTGGTGGGCATGGAATTCTGAAGGTGTGTCGTCTAAGTATTAATATTTCTTGTAACACCTACTATATTTACATTACCTGTTTTTTTTGTACCATCAAAACCGTTTTATCGGAAATTATCATGTAAATAGATAAGCAATTACCATTGCAATAAAAATAATTGCCAACTAGACATAATCCTGACAGCTCTGTCCTCTTGTGAACCCCATCCTAAGCTCAGAATTAACATCCCAGATAATCTTAAACTGCACTTCAAAGCCTACATCCACAGACGGTATGCTGGATATACACCTGGGTCAGTGGATGAATTTTGCTGTGATCTTGTAAATGTCATTACCACATATTATACCACCTGGGTTAAGTCAAGGAGGAAGGGGGGCAGCACTAAACCACCTCTGTGGACATATGACCCCATCCTCACCAAAGAAGGAGAGAAGGTAGCAAAATAAAACTAGTGATAACCTCCTGGCATTCCTCAAAGCTAACAGAGAATTTCGTGAACTCAAAGGTCAGGTGAGAAACACCTATTGGGAACAATTCTTACAGGGGATTAATAGAACAACCACTCCAGCAGAAGTGTGGAACAAAATTAAGAGCCATTACCAAGTCACCCACCCCAGTCCAACTTCATTACAGCCCTGCAGAATATGCTGACATGCTATTAGACCAATGGTCTATGCAGTGGTTCTTAACCTTTTTTGAGCCACGGACCCTTTTGAGAATCTGGTGAAAGCTATGGACCCCCTCCCTAGAAAAATGCACATAAGTACATAAACACAACTTTGCATGCAATGAATATGCTTTATTTTATTGAAAATTCATTGCCTCATACAGTGTATGACATACACAAAGTATGAATAAAGTCAACAATCTTAACAAAGAATTATGTTTCACATTTTTTATGCAAAAATTAATGGCCACTCCATACAAAAATGAAATACAATCACCTTGTGCAAATTAAACAAAACAAAACTTTAATTCTGCTCAAAAGTTCATTTCAATGAGAAGGTTATTGTTGTTTGGCTTGAATAAGAAGATGAAACTGTGGAGTGGTCTTTGACAAGGTAACACGCATGTCATCTTTGACATCCAATCGATTTCGACTTTTCGTTTTGATAGAAACAGGTGCTGAAAACCCTGACTCATAAAGCTATGTAGTAGCAAACGGAATCAGAGCACCCATAGCTCGCTTTACCAGACGAGGGTAAGCTTGTGTCAATGCACACCAGAATTCTCCAAGGCTCTTCGAGTTGAATTCATTTCGTAACATTTCCTTTGTCTTCAGGTCAATGAGGTCATCTTTGGCAAGGTCTTCATCACTGATACAGTCTATGTCAGCAAGGAAAGGATTACGAATCCATGTTTCAACTTCAAGGTCACCTGAGCAGAAGTAACCTTTGAAAGAGTTCTGCAGAGTATCCAGATGTCTGCGGAATTCTGCCTGCAGAGAAATTGACAGGGCCTTGTCACTCTCGATTCCATCCTGCAGAAGCACTTCCTCTAACATTGGAAAGTTTGCATAGTTGTCTGCCTCCAACCTCCTCTTCCACAGTGGCAGCTTGGCCAGAAAAGCTTGCAGTCTTTCAGCAGCATCCATAATGGTAACTCCAGGGCCTTGAATCGCAAGATTCACCCCATTCATATGGCCAAAAATATCCGCCAAGTAGGCCAAGCCATGAATGAACTCCTCACTGTCAAACTGTTCTGAGAGTGGGCTTTCTTTTTCTCTCAAATAAAAGTGAAACTTCTGCTCGAAGTTCAATCAAGCACTTCAAGATTTGTCCTCTGGAAAGCCAGCGAACTTCTGTGTGGTAGAGAAGAACTTCATATTCTGCTCCCATTTCTTGACAAAACCTCTTGAAAACGCGATGGTTCACAGCCCTGGCTCTGATGAAGTTGACGACTTTCACGCCAGTAGACAAGACTTCTTTCAGAATTGCTGGCAGAATCTTTGACGCCAATGCATGCCGATGTAGAAAACAATGGGTCACGATGACCTGAGGAGCTTCTTTCTTCACCAAAGCAGCAAAACCAGATGTGTTGCCAAGCATCGCAGGTGCTCCGTCTGTGCACAGAGTACCAAGATTTTTCTTCCAGTCGAAGTTTTGCTTGGCAAAGAAACTATTCACCATTTCTAAGATGTCGCTGGCCTTTGTAGTTTCCAAAAGGGGCTCACAAAATAGGAATTCTTCTTTGATGGCATCAGCATGCATATAACGAACGAAAACCAGGAGCTGGCTGCACTGAGAGACGTCAGTAGTTTCATCCAGTTGCATGCTGAACGGAAATGGCGTAGTTGCCAATTCTTCAATTACTTGCTCCAAAATATTAGAAGAAATGTCAGCAATTCTAGAGTGGATGACGTCATTTGACAAAGGCACTGCTGCAATTTTCTTCCTCTGCTCCAAGCCACAAACCAGCTCGACCATTTCCAGGGCACATGGCTTTGCCAAGGTCTCTTCAATCGTATGTGGCTTCTTTTGCTTGGCAATGCGATAAGCAACCTTGTAGGATGCTTCAAGACAAGGCTTTTGTGTTGGGGCAAATCCAAGTTTTGGTAAAGTTCCAGCTTTCTCAAATCGAGCCTTCTTTGCACGAAATATATCAACACTGTCCGATGCATTTTCAGGATGGACAGACGTGAGGTGCTCCTTCAGCTTTGTTGGCTTCATGCTTCCATTGGCAAGAACCTTGCCACACAGGAAACACTGAGGCTTTTGTGTCCCATCACGTTCAGCGATGAAAGTAAAACCAAAGGATATGTAAGCTTCGTTGTACTTCCTTTTCTTAGACATTTTCAAATTGAGCTAGGCTGCAAAACAAAAAAAATGTATGTAATTTATATGGAAAGCAATAACTAATGAAAACAAATTAATAAGCACGACAGATCGACCGACAGAAAGACAGATCGACAGATAGACAGGCAGACAGACAGACCAACTGACGGACAAACCTTCACAGACAGACAGAGAGATAGACAGATAACGCTATTTTCAGTAGCATTATTACGGATTTCTCAAGGTTCCCCTCAGAAAATATATGAATGATACTGACTGATGACTTCGTGTTTTCCTACCCTACTGACGCACCCAGACCCTAACTTTATCCATTCTCTCTCTATTTTTGCATCCCTTCTCTAACTACGTGCACCCAGTCCCTAACTTTAACCAATAAATAATAACAGACTTGTTGTAAATAATGGATAAAACAAATAAATACAGCGCACCAACCATTTTGGGTTTTTTACAACACTCGCACGCGCCTTTCTTCATATGCACCCACATACGTACAAACACATATTCACACACTGTACACCCATCACTCTTCAGCCACACTCTGAAATTGTGGTCAGAAGGCGGTTGGAGGTCTCCAACCTCGGCTGGTACAGATGTAGTAATAATAACTAAGGCCCTCTTTCGCTATCTTCACCAAAAACATAACCATAGGTAATTAAATATATTTAGGAAAAAGTATGTATTTGAAGATACTATGGCCCTCAGTTAAGCCTTACCAGTATATGAGAAGATTCCCAAGCCGTGATAAACCGTGGAAAATGAAAAATAAGCACTCGGTATGTAGTGGCTCAAGATGACGGTTGTGCAGAGAACGCTGCTACCAATTTAAATGGTAAACATCGGGGCCAGATTCAGGAGTGGGCAAAGTGGGCAGCTGCCCAGGGGCCTCCACAATCTGGGGGCCTCCACATGTGCGGTAGTAGCTATATCAGGGCTGGTCGACTTGAAACCACGTGAATGACTCCAGTCATGTCTCACTTGTGTGTGTGTGTGTGTGTGTGTGTGTTGGGAATTTGTACACTATCAATAAATATACAGTTAATTAAAAATTTCTCAATGTTCTAATTTCCTCAATATAACTGCATATGGCTTCAAATTTTTCCAAAGAAGTGTTCAAATTTCAAAATTTTCCCGGGGGGGGCGCCCAGATGTTTAGGCTCGCTTCACTCGCCACCCCACCCTCTTGGGTAGTTATAATGAGCGGGGCCTCCACAAAGAGGCTGCCCATGGGCCTCCACAGGTCTAAATCCAGTACTGGTAAACATGGGCCACCAGAGACGCTTCGCGGTCAGTGGCAGGGTACGTTTTCTTTAATTTCTTTCAATGGGAAACTATTCTAGAACTCAAAACCTGACGACGATGACGATTGTATGTTACCTGACCGTGTACAGTAGCATCCCATGCCACCCTACGATTTACTGGTTTTCTTAAGTAACCAAAAATACATACACAACATCTGGTATATATTGACAAAAATAGAACAACTTAATATAAAAATATAGTGAATATAAATGTTAAATTTTTATCTGACCTTCACGGACCCCCTGAAGCCCATCCATGGACCCCTTGGGGGTCCATGGACCCCAGGTTAAGAATTCCTGGTCTAGTGTGTCACAAATCACTTCCCTGCCTCCTGACATACAGCAATATCTTAAAACCACACACATTAATAGGGGTTTCAATATTGAAATAGCCTGTTCCTCACCAGACCTTACCGACCAGTTTCCTATAACGCACCATGAACTAACAACAGCACTAATAAAAGGTGAATCATCCTCCCCTGGTGAAGATGGCATAACCTATAACACCCTGAGATTGTTGAATGAGATCCCTAACCATCCACTGCTTGACCTTTATCAAATGAGCCTCACACAGGGTATTCTGCCTAAGACATGGACTCATGGAAACACAGTACCAATCCCTAAGGCTAGCTCCCTAAACTTCCGGCCAATTTCACTCACATCCTGTATGTGTAAAGTCCTTGAAAGAGTTGTTCTCAACCGTTTCATATTTTAAGTCAATGACAAACTGGCCCCTAATCTGTATGGGTTCATGCCCGGGCATAGCACACAGACATGCTTTGCAGAATATCTTGTTCACTCAAAAGATAAGACACAAACAGCCTTCATAGACCTTAAATCAGCCTTTGATGTAGCTAATAGAGACATTATACTTGAGCAACTAGCTAATTTTGGCATCCAAGGTAACCTCCTGACATGGATAAAGGGTTATCTGTCCAACAGGTATGCCAGTGTTCTGCTTAGAGGAGTTAAAAGTGCCAGAATGAGATCATTTGAGCTTGGCACGCCACAGGGAGGAGTGTTAAGTCCTATGCTCTTTAATATACTGATGCACAAGCTTAAAGCTGACATTCCAGTTCAGCCAAACGAGGCTGTAATATGCTATGCTGATGATATCTGCATTATGACACAGACTAAGCTCAGGCTCCAAGCCTTGCTGGATGTATTTGCTCGGAGGACCGTGGAATGTGGTCTCATAATATCTGTTAACAAGACGAGGGTCCTCAATCCTCGTCCTGCTCACCCTCTGCCTCTTGACTTTAACATTAACAGCATGCCCTTGGAATTATGTAGCTCCTATAAATATCTTAGAATTTGTGTGAATGATGCAAACTTTGTCAGCAACCTTCGTGCCAAACTAATGCAGTGCATTACACCCCTCAGAACCCTTGTTGGCAAGGGCTATGGAATTAACGTCACCTCTTTACTTCATTAATTCTGTAGTTGACTATCATGCTCTCCATCTTGTGACTATTCCGCCTAAAAAATTCAACAGCCTTGAGGTAGTGCAAAATGAAGCCATGCGCTTCATTCTAGGTTGCAAAAAATCAACCAGAATTGCAAACATGAGGAAAGAGCTCGGACTGCCCTCCCTATCTGAGAGGATAGCTCTACTTAATACCATGTTTTGTGTCAAAGTTTTGAAGAACAATGGTCCCCAAACTACAGCTCAAACTGAGTTGATATTCTATCTAAGATTCTCTTTGGGGCGTGGCTTCATAAAAGTGTTGCAGATCTCTTGAAACTGAATGTCCCAATCACCCCAGACGAACCCATTAATGCCATTCCTCCTTGGCTGGATATATCAGTTCCTATTAATTACACTCCTGCTGGTAGTAAGCAAATGTTAAACACCGATGTGATGAGATGTGTCACACTAGAAACTATTAACAGACACATAGAGAGTATTAAATCAAGTGAATGTTATGCTTTTACTGATGGTTCTGTGCAGACAAACACAGGTAGAACAGGCTGTGCAATTGTAATATATAAAGAAAAACCCTTATCCACTACCTCCTAAGATGTCCCCACACACAACGCTTCCGTGACGCCTGCTGGACCACCACTCCACGACCCCCTGACGGAGACACGATGATCCTCCCCATACTGGCCAGATATTTTGTGAAGAATACTGATTATGTGTTAAAGGAATATCCTTCCTTCCTTCCTTAGGCTTTAGTAAGCCCCTTTATAATATTTATACTGTAAATACTTGTCACACTTGCCAGATGCTTCTGGTGTCATTGTACAGGGGTACCTAGTGACAACACTAGGATCCCGCTTCCTCTATCAAGGAATAAACAATTGAAATTGAATTTGAAGAAAAAGAGATGATAGTGTCAAACAAGCAAAGGCTGAACAACTGGGCCAGCACAACACAAACTGAACTAACTGGAATCTACTTAGCCACTGTGACTCTCAAAGTGCTTTGAAATCATTGAACAACCCGTCAGGCTCTGTCTAAAGTTGTATGTGATATTAAAAGGAATGTGATAACTGCCAATGAGAACAACTTTCGTATCGAATTTGTGTGGATCCCATCCCATGTTGGAATCAGGTATCATGACCGTGTTTATAGACTGGCCAATGAGGCATGTAAGAAAGAAAATGTTGACCGTGACCTTGGCCTGTCCAATGCTGTAATTAAAAACATTCAAGTCAGAATGATGAACTCTGATCTAGAAGAAGTGAGAAATGCAGAGAGAACTGGCAGTTGTAGCATTAGTAAATATTGTATAGATATGTACATACCAAGATATGGGAACACGCCTGACGCCAAGACTCCGTCACCATTCATTGTACCATTTATTCACATGTCTGTATTACTACATATTATTATAGCATGTCTGATGTCTATGCTTATGTCTAATGCCTATGTCCATTTACTATGTCCCGATGTACTATGTCTGTACCGCGCTAGTCGAGTAATTAGAAGACCTCATTTATTGTCCTAGTAATGTCTAGCAACTCTCCTTGCCTAGCTAGCTAATTTCCCTCAGATCGGCTTCGGCCTGCCTACGGCGAGGAGTTCCTTGTGCTGACTCCTGTTCCTGTACCGGTTGGCTATCACGCCAAGTCTTGTACCACTTGTTGAATATATCTACTGCTCGTGCCCTGGAGTTTCAAGAACCTTGTCTAGGATTACATCCACCACAAATATGACAAATTTTGTGACAAGAGGTACCGGTATGGCCAGCATAAAGACAGAACCAGACAATGTGATGTAGTCGTGGCCAGAATTAGGCTAGGATACAGACACATCTGGCAGGTTAGTAACGCTGTACCCATACCGGAACACTCAGCATGTAAACTTTGTGATAAACCTTTAAAGCATACACTTGAACACTATATTATTGTCAAGGACTTCAGGCCACCTGACTTATTGTATCTTGAACTTTGTAATTACTAATTTGAATCGGGGGTGCTTGAGGACATTCTTGCTGTTTATCCCAAATTTGCTAGCCCACACTGATTAGTCTTCAATTAGAATATGACGTCCAATGTATGTGAACCACTGACTTATATATACTGCTACTGAATATGATGTATTTCTTTGTGTACGAACCTCTGTCCTGCATGGCAGCGAACAGTGACATTACCCACATGAATCTGACCTATATATAGTGTCAATGAATATGAAGCATCTCTTTGTGTACGAACCTCTGTCCTGCATGGCAGTGAACAGTGACATTACCCACA